CTGCACATGTGGGTGTGGATGGAAATGAGGAAGTAGACTTGCTAGCAAAGAAAGCATTAAATCATCCACAAATAGAAATTAAGTTAGCTTTAAGTAAAGCTGAATTCAAGAGAGTGATATCATTTGAAGTAAGTAAGAAATGGCAACAGTTATGGGATAATGGGTCTAAAGGAAGACATCTTTTCCAGATTCAGGAGTGTGTTGGAAACGAGAGGAAAAGATACGGAAATAGGAAGAAAGATGTCATCTTACCAAGACTAAGAATTGGACATACAGCATTAAACTATAGTCTTTATAAAATAGGTAAGCATGAATCGGGAAAGTGTGACAAATGTGGAGAATTAGAAACAGTGAAACATATTCTTTTTGAGTGCTCTGCATATGAAATGGAGAGATTTCAATTAATTCAAGAATTAGGATGGCTGGGAGTTGATAATATTTATTTAAAAGTATTGTTTGGAAATGGGTCGAGGCAATCAAGAGAGCAAGAAAATATGTTTAAATACCTGAAAAACACAGGAGCAATAGATAGAATCTAGGTGTTTTTATTTTTCCCCCCTGTATTTCTTTCTTCCAAATTTAGGCACACTCCAGATCAGTAGGTGGCGGTAATGCACCTTTTTCGCTGGTTTGCCAAACCGCCATGAAACACCAGAAGAAGAAGAAGAAGAAGAGACTAAGAATAATAAATAAATAAAAATATGAATGAAAACGAGTAGTGAATTCGGACACTGAGTGCACCGGAAGGAATGCCGCTTTTGCATAGTTTGTGCTTGCTGTTTATTCATCATTTGAAACTAGCAAACTAGCAGCTCCAGCAGTAAGATTAAAGGATCTATCTTGCACTCTGTCACGGAAATTATGTATAAACCCTAATCAAACAATTTAATAATCAATTTACAATGAACTTATACCCGTGTTGTACATTATGCTGTACGCCATAGATGAGCGCGTTGTAAAAATGAACGGATTGATTATTCAGCTGTGGGCACCGTCTTCTGGCGAGATGTGTAGTATTCATTCGGCGCGTGACTCTCACGGTGCATTATGGGCATTCTCCAGTTGTACACTCGTTTTTGCAGTGCATTGTGGGATTGAATGAGCGCACTCGAGAACGTCCACTATGGTTTCGG